TACCTAGCTGCGTCCCACGTCGGCAAACTCACCATGAAGGCCGAGGACTATGAGTCGGACTTCTTGAAAGATGGGAAATGGTCCAGAGTTGATAAGCGGGCATCGTCAATGATATTGGCGTGCGTCTCGGACTCGGTGAAGAGTGAGTTACTGTCGACAAGGCTTGTTGGCACCCTGGCCATGTTGTCGAGGATCGTTGTCTTGTACAGACCGGGATCTATTGCAGAGCGCCAACAGGTGTTACGAGCTCTTGAAAATCCTCATCAGGCTGCTAACGCTGCCGAGGCTGTTGTGGAGCTGAGGAAATGGGCCAGATGGATGGCAAGGGCTACGGACATTGGGATTCAGTGTCCTGATGCGAGTGTGCTGGTTCGAGGTTTGGACAGCATAGTGCGGAAGGTATTGACGGACCACGCCGACATTGCCTTCCGCATCTCCATGCTTCGCTACACGTTGGAGGTGGATACCAGGCCTACGATTAAAGGGGCACGAGATCTACAACAAGCACTGATGAGCGAGCTGGAATAAGTAGCATTTCGTTCACGGGCTACGACTGCTCCCACCCCAAGTGTCAAGGCGGCATCGGTAGCTACCCCAACTACTGGCGCACCCAAGAGTGAACAAGCTCATGGACAAGAAGCAAACAGCCCTACTACTCAGGCGAAGACCAAGGCCAAGACGCCATGCCGCTTCTTCCTCACGGACAAGGGATGCAGCAAGGGATCTTCATGCACCTATAGCCATGCTTTTACTCGCAAAGAGAAACAAGGACGTTGCTGGGCATGTGGGAGTACACAGCACCACCAACCAGAATGTCCAACAAAGAATGGTGGTGGAAGCCCCTCTGCTAGAGCAGGCGCTGCTCCCAAGCATGCTCCAATCGTGAAGGCTATTTCAGAGACCCCGGCTACTACGGCTTCGGCGGCATCTGTGGCACCTACTACGACAACCTCACAGCCCGAAGCAGCGCCTCCAACAACAGTTCCGGAGTCTGAACTTAAGAGCCATGCTCAAGGAGATTCGCCAGCTGAAGACTCTTTCCTTGACGACCACTCAGGTTCAGAATCAGGCGGTAGGAGTTGGTTGCGACCCGGCTACCGGAAGGACAGGCCTGCTTGATAGCGGTGCTAGCCACCCCTTTCGCGAGGCTTCCGAGGAGGAGCTTTTGGACGCTGATCATGTTAGAGTACAGCTTGCAGGAGGACGTGAAGTCGTTCTTTCACAGGGCCGCCATGGGTCCTTGTTGGCGGAGAAGACGGGGGCCGCCAGCTCGGCCCCGATTGTTCCACTTGGAGCGCTCGTTCAGGAGCTCGGGTGTCAAGTGTCATGGTCACGGCGGGGCGGCCTGGTGATACGGCATCCCCAACACGGTGCCATTCGTCCTGCGATTGTGGGGCGATGTCCGGTGGTTGCAGAAACCCAGGCGTTGGATTTGATTAAGGAGATCGAGTCTCAAAAGCTGCAATCCCTGGAGAATGCGACGAGAGCTACGGCGAGAGCTTTGTGGCTTTGGGACTCTACAAGGCCCTGGGCGCAACACCTCAGTGACTTTGTGAGGATTGGCGGGCGAGCAGCACAGCTTGCAGCTATGACGGCACCGGGATCGCCTTTCTCTGCGTGGAGTGAGATCGAGCGGGCCTTGATTGCAGAGAACATCGAGCTGTCCGATCGTGCTGGTTGGTCGTACCTGCGAGCACTTCCCGGATCGCGCCAAAGGAGGAAGAGAATGATGGCTTTGCCTTGGGTGGTTCACCTTTATTCGGGCCCTGGAAGGTCAGTCGAGCCGGTGTTCCGAGAGTTGGATGATGGACGTGTGTTGGTTCAGATCGACATCAACCGCAGCAAGGCGGAGGATATGAATGTGGTGGCTGGGGCCTACAGGGCTTTGTTGTGGGCTGCGGCTACAGGGAGGATCGATGGGATCATTGGCAGTCCTCCCAATCGGCCGGAGCTTGTGCAGAGGATGATGTGGTTAACGGTAGTGGCGAAGGCCGCTCGGGCTATCCATGGTGGCCACCCGGTGTTCGCTTTGATTGAGGGTTGCAGAGTTCTAGGCCTTGCTCGGCGAGGTGAAGTGGAACGTTGGTCCTCGGTTTCGGCCATCGCCACGAACTTGAGACTTAAGGAC